AACATGGTTGATTTTCACAATATCATTGAGGAAATTGTCTGCATGGTCATTTCCTGACATGACATGTGACACGGTGCATAAACATTATATTCACAGCCCATCTCGCATTTAGATGAAACCCTCTCAGGATAAAGTAGGGCATGTTGTCATTTCTCTTCAGGCTGGAGAAGATAGCCAGAGACAAATAGTTGTTCCTGATTACCAGGCTTGTAAAAATATTGATACTTGTATAAACTGCAACCACAGTAACATCTCTCTTTATCAGAAGGAAAACAATGAAATCTCATCTGCTTTTCCATCCTGACGCAAAAGTGCTGTTTTGCTTTGGTTTCATTGGTTTACCAGAAAACGGAGAAGTGCTGTGTCAGCTGATTCAGAGATGCATAGCTGCTCAGGATGAATGAATAGACTCCAGACAGCACAGGACAAAGACAGATGGAGTTAAAGAGGCATAAAAAAGACTGACAGAAGAACAGATAAATTATTGGGATAATATGTTTCAGTACAGATAGGAGGATGGGCGATTAAATTGTGTAGGAAAGAATGACAAAGGAGAGAGTTGGTAAAGGGCAGGATGCTCTGACAGACAGAGGAGACAGAGTGAGAAAAGGTCAGAGGCTGTTTGTGCCAAGGGAGCAAGAAATTAAATTCCGGTTGCTTCATCTTAACACTCGACTGCCATGTAACAAAGATTTGGTTTAAAGACGGGTGTTAACATAAAAACAAATCCAAGTTAAGCATGGAACAAATTAGCACAACATACAAAGTTTTCACCACATATTTACTGATATTTATCAAATGTCAAAAATGAATAAAATATAAATCTGAATGTTGTCGACACACATATGTTGTCCTCTCTTCGTTCAACTTAAAGTTTAGACCATTCAAGACTTAATTTTGCAGAAAAGCAAATAAAGAAAGAATACGTCCTATCATTCAAGGATTTTGTCTTAAAATTGAGTTTACCATTTGATATACAATATTTTGGGGTTGTATTTAAAACAGCAAAGCTTGAAATTGGTGAAATCTTTATTTTGCCAAAATACAAAACCCACAACTTATGAAAAGTCACGACAAAGTAAAGTAGACCATTCTTATTGAACAGAAGTTTGTTGTTTCATTATTGATTTACTCATACATTTACTAAAATATAAAAGTACATTTCCTCCAGCTAATACACTCAATGTCATTAAATATTTGTGTTTCATCTCCATGTTCCAACTTCTCATATGATATCTCCCACTTCACTAATATCCAGAGTTTGGAGGAGAAATAGAGAGGTAGAAATGTGGGGGTGAAGGATGAGATAAAAATGAGAGAAAGTAAACATAAACAGACAGGTTGTTATTTTATTCCAAACTCCACTGCTCTCTCATCGCTCTTGCTTTTCTTTACCTCCCATCCTGCTCTCCACTCCCCTGTCATGTGTCCAGGCAGAGGTAGTTGTTTTTGAAAACGGTACACATACACACACACGCACGCACATACACACTTACACACAGGGTGTCCTAATCAAAGCCAGGCTCTGCACATTGTGTCCCAGTTGAGCAGCTATTTTTATCTGCACCGCTCTAACACGGATGGAATGGGTCAGATAGGCCAGGCTGACGAATCCATCAAGACCAACGGATAAACAGCCTGCTGGACATGCACACCCACAAACACACATACACACACATGCCTACACACACATTCTGTTTAAGTAAACACATGAATGAATTCTGTGTCTTTATCACAAATGCAAACTAATACAGGCCTTGCTCTCTTTCAGCCTCTCTAACTCTCAAAAGCATACACACACTCACACACAAACGCACACTTAAAACTACAGGTAGTTCCAGTCTATGGTGTTGTTACGTGTTGTGTTCCCACCAGTGTAATATTTTTCCGATTATGTGTTTCTCTCTGTATTCCCTTGTATGTCTGTCTCTTTAATACCTGAATCTGCGCCCTCCTACACTCCACACACATACACAGACACAAACACACACACATAGTCTGTCTTCTCCCATTAGCAACATGGCAGATCTTCAGCCCTCACACATGCATGATGCTGCCACATACACACACACCAATGTGGTTAGAGACACATGATTACTGATTTACCATTGTAAGAGAAATCCAGTTGGCAGAGATCCAGTTTCAGGCTTGTTAGTTTGGGATTCAAGTGCTCTGGCTTGGACCCAATTAGTTTCTCTCCCTACTTCCCTCCTCCTACCTCTCTCCAGTTACTCTGTTGTCATGACTGTGTTGGATATTACATGCAGTGAAAACCACAGCTGTACACAAACTTGAAATCTTCACAGCCCAAACAAACCGCAGTATGTTCTGTACATTAAAATGAAACTGAGATCACTTATTTTGTCTGGTATGTAAATAGCAGTGTCTGTAATGGCTCCAAGCTATTTGCTTTGAACCCAACATACAATGGCACCTATCGGGACATGAAACGGCTATAAACCTATATTGTGGTGTACATAGTGTTGTAAAAATATTTACAGGCTTTAAGTTGTTGTTGTTAAGTGCTGTGTGTGTTTTTCTGTCTTCCTCTCACTCTCGGGTCATATTCTCACAAATTGTGTAACTTTCTGAAACTGACAATCCAGCAATCGCACCCACTTCACACAGCGATTGGTCAGATGTGTGGAGGTGAGAAAGTATGCAGGGTTTGAACTTCTTGTAAGCTTTTCTTTTTTCAGTATTTACACAACTCTTTCTGGCACTTCTCATGTGTACAGCTGAATAAAACTCTATGAAGGAAAGATTGTCTGAAAGTGTGTGCTCGTCGCCCTATATTTAAACGATTATTGCCTCTTGCCCTTCGTTAGGATAGTCAGCCTGCCTTTGAGTGTGGCCATTCACTGAACTTAGTTTGGACGACATGCTGTAATCACTAGTTATTTTCGAACATAACCTAGCCTTTAGCATAAACCCATAGAAGAAAGAGCATTCATCATACCTCTTGGATTATTTACTGTGTAGTCACAGTACATAAAGGTAAAAGTATATAAACAATCAACATTTCCTGATCGAGCAGGTCAGTCCCACCAATTTCACTCAAACTATCTTGACATTGGAGAAACTTTTTGGACTAATTTTGCAGGTCAAAGTACAGTCAGATTAAACTGTCTCTCCCCCGTCCTTATCAAAATTAGTGGAGACTAAATTTGGCGCTGAATGCTAGTGGTTAACTGATATGGGTTTTTCGATGGCCAATAGCAATATTTAGAGAGCAGGGCGGTCGATGCTCAATATACAATGCTGATATCAAAACAAACAAAAGTCAAGTATAATTCCATTATCCCAGGCAGGGTGCAATCTGATATACATGGTTATCTTAGCCAGTAACATGTTGTTTTTAGTTGGATTTTTTATTTATTAATGAAATAGAACAATGCATTGGGTTATGCTGTAGATTTCAGAAAGTGACTGGTGTTTAAGTGAGGGTAGGGTACAGTTTGTTAGAAGTGATGTCATTCAACGGCATTATTCTCTACAGAATAACAATATGTATTTAACAATAGTCAGTAATTGTGTTAATTAGATCTGCTTTCATTTAGGATGATCTATTGGCCTTGTGAGTGCAGGTATCACCAATGCTGATTATCTCAAAATGCCAGATATCCAATTGGACTCTGGTCTCTGGTCATGGCTTTCTTTGCTAGTAGCTCTTGGTTCTTCTCCCCTCTGCTCTCCTAGCTTCAGAGTTACAGAAGCTAATGGAACAGCAGAAACCTGGAATTTTCTGTCCATATTCTAAGCTAGCATGGGTATCTACTCTGTAATTGCTGTTTTATCTGTAAATAAAATGCTTTTGTTGGCATTTATCAACTCCAGCTGCCAGGGGACTGCACTTCAGCTCTCTATTTCTATATCTTTGAATCTTGTTTACTCAGCCTTTTGCACCTCTCCCCCTACCTGTCTCTCTCTATTTATCTATTTCTGTCTTTCTATAGGTCTCATTCTTAGCTTCTTCACTTGCTTTCTTCTCTCTCTGCCTTCTTTTCTTTTATGTGTTGCCAATTCCAAATAGCAAAACACACACACACACACCCCACAGCTTTACTTTGAACATCCTTATGTGCTTAACATAAACATGCACACTCACACATGTCCCATCTCCCAGCTCCATGCACTCTATCCACTCACACACACACACACACACACTCATTTACTGCTTACACTGCCATATGATAGTAATTTGCCAATATGGAGGAGCAGGAGGGCTCAGCTGGAGTTTAGGTCTGAGTGGAAGAAGAGTTTGGGATCCAGTTTACTGGCATGAAACAGGAAGTCGCTTCTTTACTCTTACTTTTTGTACTTTTAGATTGTCTCATTACAGGGTGCACATAAACCTCTGATGTTGCATTGTGCATTGATCTTTTTTTTTAACCTTAAGACACATCTGGCTTTGGTCACTTTGGATGTGATGATGTATGCAAAGTTTTTTTTTTGCCACTGGGCTCTAAAACAAACGGAAACACACACACTTCTAACATATTTTGCATTGCATTATAATTTACTATATACTATATTTGCCTGTTTATACTGTATATCTAGCAGACACAGAGCAATTGAATCGAATAGAATTGGGGTTGTGATCGCACTGAAAGAGGAAAAAAAAAACAGTATGTCCCATAAAACCAAAAAAATTAACTAAAATAGCCTTAAAAGGTCTGTAGAGCTGCAGGTGGTACTTTGTCACTATGAGCAGCCCCTCACATGTTAAACACTGGATCCATTTTTATATGAACAAAATCAATTTCAACTGTTAACTCTCCTGTGTGTCTTACTTTTTGATTTATATATATTCATAACAAAATATATATCTGCATGTATTTGTATGCACGTGTCTGCTTATATTTATGCTGTTCAGTGTCAGGTTTATGTTCGTCGCTGTACGAAATCATGATGAGATGAGACAAGATGAAACACTGCCTGTGTCGCACCTCTGTCCTGTATATTCCTGTATATTGTAACAGTGATGTCTTGTGTTTCAGGTTCGTAACCTGTGCTACATGGTGACGCGGAGGGAGAAAATGAAACACACTCTGTGTGACCTCCAGGAGAAGATCTTCCACCTGCAAATACAACTACTGGAAGAGGACATTGATGGAGGTAAGACAGAGAGAAAACATGAGTATGTGTCTGTGGTGATTTTTCTAATTCCAGTCATCTAAACATACCAATGTAAAAACCTGTTAACTTTCACCCACTCTACCACTGTAGCCAAGGCCGCCAACACACTCTGTCCACCCCCCAAAAAAAGTACAATCTGGAAAGCTCAAGTGCATAACGGTTACATCCAAACCCTTGTTGACTGAGTGTAGTGGGTGGACAGTTTTTGAAATGGCCTGTCATCATTTTTGCACAGCAGGCCACACTTGACACCTGCACAGCAAAGAGCAGTGGAATAATAGTTCGGCCAAATATTGTGACACACGCCATCCACATAAATGGAGCTCGATTTCCCATCCACTCTGCACAGATGACTGACCTCGATGCATTTCATGCAGCTGCTCTGTGATGGAGAACAGGAAGGATGATGCTGGCTGGTTGAGTTGAGCTGTGTTTGCTAGATGTCTGCTCAAAATGAGATTAATAATCTTAGTGGTAACACCAGGTTAAATGGAATAGGTTTTTAACATTTTAATTATGTAAAACTTGTATTTTCACCACTAGAGTTGACTACATTTGTCTTTTACCTCCTTGGACCATTTGCGTTATTGTCATATCACCGGAAACAACAGCACTTTCCACAGCAGCTAGTTTTAATTGTGGTCATAGTAATAGTACTAATTGTTGTTACTACTACTACTACTACTACTACTACTACTAATTATAATAATAATAAAAATAATAATAATAATAATAATAATAATAATGAATAAAATTTTTCTTTATACATGTATCATCTTTCTAACAGTATTACAAAGTGTTTTACAAATAAAATATGTATACATTCATTAAAACAACTATACACAGCATAGACTAAACAAAGGCAAGAATACAGTCAATGATGGTTAAAACAAGAAACATAAAATTGTAAATGACCAACAGAGTTATAAACAATTATATGGTGCATTTTTATAAAGATAGCTTTTGGAGATTAGAAAGATTGTATCGGAGCATCTGCTGCCAGCTCTGGTATACATGGTGACATGGGGTCAGTAGCTCAGCAATGTAACCAGAGGCCAGACTGTGGAGAGCCTTAACGTAGCAGTAAAACAATAATATCCATTCTAAAAGCTAGTGGGATGTTGTCATATTTTAATGAATATGTTGTTAGCCTTGCAGCTGTATTTTGTAGCAGCTGAAGTCAACAAAGAGAGCACAGCACCGCACATATATAGGCTATAGGCTCTCACCACGGAAAAAGCTGCCAGTCAGAGGACGCCGCCAACACTTCCTGGACAGATTAAAGATAAAGGCATTAACAACTTCTGTTAGGTCATCAGTAAATAAAAAAAGCTTATCTTGAGATATATTTCAGCTGAATAAACAGCCTTGTTAAGTTGATCATTTAAACAAAGTTTCAAGCTGTTGTTATAGCTGTGAAAAATAGTGACCTGTGTTTGTCTTCGATAAGGTTAAAGAACCCTGTTTTGTTTCAGTAGTCGTGACCTGCAGCTGTGATGGCGATGAGAGTGAAAGCTTGTTGTCATGGTAATACCAGTGACGTCTCGCTGGCATGGTAATGATACTGAACTCTTGTCAGCCTGCCCCTGTGGCTTTGTTGTGGAGCGTGTGTGCAGTTAGAGTGCTCAGTTCGCAGTGCTCATCATTCCCGAGGAAGGCTGCACACACATCTATGCGCTCCACTAAATCTTACAAACACTTTCACTCTCTTTCTAACTCCCTCTGTGTCTCTCACTAATACACTCACACTCCTAAAGGAGCGCACACACACACACACACACACACACACACACAGTGCATAGCTCCTGACTCAGCAGATTGCGGCCATCAGGTACTGGGAGCTGTGCTGCTGGCACTAAACAGCCATATCTATTCACACTCTAGATTAGAGAGGATAGTTGGTGTGTGTGTGTGTGTGTGTGTATCTGTGTGTGTGGGTGTGTGAGAGCACCAGAGAGTGAAGGATGAGGTTGTCTGCTCTAATGATTTGTCGTGTCCCTCACCTTGTATCTACCTTTTTTCTCTGCCTCTTTTATCTTTCTTTCTTATTTTCCACTCTTCATTTCTCTTCATCCTCTTCCTTAATGTATTTTTTCCTCCATCTGTTTCTTTCTTTCTTTTTCTCTCTTTTGCAGTATCTTCCCAAGGGTTATATTTTCTCTGTCTTTTTGTCTCCTCTCTCTTATGTTGGTTGTCTCATCCGACATTCAGTTTCAGTCAGTCCATCGGTTGTCTCAGTTTGTTCTTCTTTTGTCCTTCTGATTTTAGGACACTAAAAGTAACTGAAAACACTGACAGGCATTAAGTTTTTCCGCAACAATACTACAGACAAATTATATGGAGATGGTTATATTGGTTAAAGAAGAGTTAGAAAACTAAAAAAAGGCTATATTAATTAAAAGTGATCGGTTTACTCATTTCATCCTCAGTATACTGCGTCAGTTTTGACTTGCACTCCAGTCGGTCATTTTGACTTTGATCCAAATGCATATTGGCTCTTACATAAATGGACATGCTCACACTGGTGACTTTTTTTTATTTTTTTATTCTCAGTCCTATATTATGTGTTTTTTGGCTGTTAAAACTCCTCTGACATCCAATTCTAGCTGTAAAATCAGAAACCTGCAGATACCCTGAGCTTACTGTGCACCAGCACCAATATCCTTCCTCCCCTCCTCTCCCTCCGGGCTGGTTTCCATGTGGAAAACGCACACATCTCTCCACAAACCTCTGTCCGCCTGTCTGTCTCTCATAGTACTTAATCTGTCATGCTCCACCTGTCTGTCTGTCATGTTTATCTGCCTGTCTGTCATGTTGAGGGCTCCTCTCGTCATGCTTTGTGAATGCTAGCATGATACCAGCATGGCGGACAGGCACACGGGCAATATCCCTGTAGTCATACATGCAGTCAAAGAAGCATGATGCTGAAAGTACATGAAGTCTGCATGATTCTATGCTATCTAGTATCATTCTGTAGCAACTATTTCATATATGATAACATAAGTACAAACTCAGCACGGTGATAAAAAACTCCAACAAAACCAAATGTGTAAATTATTTGACTACGGATAACTACTGGCTCTGTGAGGCTGCGCTTGAGCTACATGCTAACATTAGGATGCTAACATGCTCACAGTGACAATGCTAGCATGCTGATGTTCAGCTCTTTGCCATCTTAGTCAAGATTTTAGCATGTTAACGTTTGCTAATTAGCACTAAACCCAAAGTACAGCTGAGGCTGATGGGAATTTGATTAGTCTAGCTGGTATTTTTGAATTGAATTGAACTGTTCTTAGCCAGGTGATCAGCCTCATTTCCTTTTTCCTGGTGGTGTCCATTTGAAAGCCACTTTGGGATCCACTCTGGGGACATTCACAGTGTATGTCCAAGCTATCTTAGAAAACAGTGTTTAATTTCTGAGCTGATGATAGCACTAAAGTTGATGGGTCACCAATGTTATTACAAAGCATCCTATGGCAATCCATCCTATAGATTTTTGTTATTGTTTCACTTATAACCACAAACCTCAACCTCAACGTGGTGATAGAGAAAAAGTCAGGCGATCGCCAAAGTCATCAGATACACTGTCTGGGATCCATGAATGCCAAAATTTCATGGCAAGCCATACTAGTCATTGAGATATGTCAGTTTGGACAAAAGTGGAACTGACTGACCATCGTCATCCCTGGAGCCTTTGGTGTTGTAACAAAACCATGTGTCTTAAATGTATAAGATATAAAAATATAAATGTATGTACTTTATCAAGTAGATCAGACCAATACTTTGGTTTGACATTAAGGGCCTTTCAACAGAAATCATATATCATACACAAAGCTTCCATCAGTCTAAGTTCATTTTTGACAAGCTATTCCTTGGCAGCAATAATATTCTTAGGTAAAACCGAGATGACCTATTATTTGTCATATTGGTAAAAATTTGACTTATTCATTATTGTTATTATTTATGCACACCTGTGGACAGACATTTATATAGTTGTAGCTGTGTTGTAGCACATAATTCTTCAGACGATGTTTTTTTATGCCTTTGGAAGAAAACATATTGATACACATAAAATATACAGGTTCAGTTATATTCTGTATAAGGGCGCACACACACACACACTCAAAGTATTATTGTTATGCAGGAAGTGCACTACATTTACATTCTGGCTCAAACCGAACTGTGACAAGCTGACAGTGGTTAGTATTGGCCTCTCTGATCTGCTCTCAGCAAGTGTGTGTGTGCGTGTGTGAGGAAGACAGAGAAAATAAGGACGGAGGAAGAGGAGGATGGGAAGGGACAAGAAGGTAATGGGATGAAAGAAAGAGTGGAAGAAGAGAGAGGGAGGAAAAGACAGTAGGGGAGGAAAAAAAAAACTTTCTCACAGTGCACTAATGAGCTCAGGTAAGAAATGGGACACAGTGGATGCACACACACAGAATCACACGCTGCAGTTCAGTGCACCTAGAAAGAGGGGAAATTAATCACACACTTCAAAAAGACGAATCCCCTGATGCTGTTGCACCTTCTAAACAAGAAGGGGAAGGGATTTTGGAGGGAAGGATAATATTGCAGATATGGAGAGAAAGGCAACAGCAGAATGTAAAGACAAAAGATAGGAAAAAAGCACAGATCTGACAAAAAAAAATGTTTTTAAAGGTTTCCACTGCTGAGTTGGATTTGTGCTGAGATTACAACCTGCAGGGGGAAAGCTTCCACACATTCAAGCAGAGACTGCAGGCGTCCTTGAAAACCCAAAGACTGGTTTCCCAAGCTGTAGAACATATAAAAGAACAAGATCAGATTAGGGAAAAAATAGGGAAAATGTTGAAGAATAGTCCCTGGGAGATCAGAGGATAAGATGGTCCTCCTGTCAAAACAAAAAAAGAAAGAAATTACAATTTAGGAGCTGTGTTCCCTCTGGGAGCTTCCTCAAAGATTCCCATGGCGTTAATGGCCTCCGCAATTTCAGCAACAGCCATAAAATAAATTGGAAAAAGGGGGAAAAATGTCTGGTAGATATACCTGCACTCTTTTACAAATCTCTTTATAAAGTTAAAACAGTTTCATACAGTACTCCTGCCACCTTCACAGTAATTCCACTTGTCAGATTTTAATTTTAACACAACAGTACAGTCACATTACACACACATTCTGCAAACAATTCACTCTTGAGACTCCCTCAACAGACAAATTCAAGGTGCAAGCTCCAGCCAGCTGAATTCACCTTTGTTCAACTTGACCATGCAAATGCGCACAGTCCGAAGAACTGGAAATATTTAGCACAGTAGACCAAAAAGCAATGGCTTTTTTAAGGCACATTGATTGTCAAGCCCTTTGAAAACATGAGTATCCCCAAACAAAAATGGAAACATTTTAGGCCCGCATGAACATACAGTACACACAAGTTCTTTTCTTCGTTCATTTTGTGTTTCTTTCTTTCCAGATATTAAGTATTATACTGTTAGTGAACTATACTGTCACAGTCTCTTCTCCACACACACACACACACACACACACACGCACGCACACACGCGCACACAGAGGGTCGTCTCAGTGTGAAATCTCTCTCTGGTCTCTCTCAGCTCCATTGTTGCATGTCCTGCTCCTCCATGCTAAAGCAAGCATGAGGACAGCCTACTGCTGGCTGTGACAGCCACACACAGTGTAGTCATGTACTCCACTGACCAACATGCACACAATTTTAAAAGAATCTATACTGTAAGCTACAGAACAGCAGTTTAATACCAAAGCTTTTACTTAAAGCGAAACACTATTTTAGTCATTCTAGCATCACAGCTATATGGGTGACAATGTCAGTCCAACAGTTGGTTCACCACTTTGATCCAGACTGAAGTATTGCAACAACTGCTGGATGGATTGCCATTAAATGTGGTATAGACATTAAAGTCCCCCCCCAGGATGAATTGTAAAATCTGTGATATTGTCTGACTTTTCATCTAGCGCCATCATCAGGTAAAATAAATTAATTTGTTTAAAACTTTTTGACCAAATACCTGCAAAACTAATAACAACAGCCTCAGCCCTAGTTCATGTTGAGTGCTTATTAAAAAATGTTAGCATGCTAACATGTGTTAGCATTTAGCTCAAAGCCCTGCCGCTGTGCCTGAGTACAGCCTTGCAGAGCCGCCATCATGGCTGTATGCTAGCGGCTCTTGTTTACAGATTTGAAATGAAAAATACCCTTCCACACCATGTTTCATTTCCTGCTGTAACAGGATGCCGTTTACCACAGTTTATGGAAAACAGGGTCATCTGGTGGTGAGGGCAGAAAGTAAAGAGAAGAAAAGAGAGTGACATTCAAAAGAGCTGCTTATTATACTGCACATCATGAGAATTAAAAAAACAAACAAATTGTACCTTTTTCACAAGAATCTTTTGTGGCATAGATGTATATAATTTAATGTTCACCAGTTTTTGAATAACCAGATTATTTGCTATTGCTAATTGCTATTGAATTTTTAATAAAATCTAAAAAGAAATTTGTCCTAATATAGTGACCGCTAAGAGAAGCAAACACATAAACAAATAAAATAAGCTTTTCTAAAACACAGTATAGCTGTAATAAACCGGCAGGTGCAACCTGCTGTACCAATGCATGCATACACAGACACATACAATGTATAAACATGTTAACAGCAGCAGGAGAGTTAGTGAGCCATGCAGTCAGAACTATGTGATTGTGTAAACAGTAGGAGCCATAACAACAAGACATCCCAACTCCAAGAGAGACGGAAAGAGATCATCACTGTGCAGTATATGTGAGAGTCAGTGGAGTGTGACTGCATCGTTTCCTTACAGGCAGTGTGTCTGTGTCTGTTAAGTGTGCATGTGTTTGTATCTGTTAAATGCAGAGAACAGAAATAATCAGTTATTCTTCATTCAATAGAATGGTGTCATAAATAATAATCGTATAGAATTTAGAGCTGAGATGATTAGTCAATTAATCGATTGGTTCAAGCTAAAGAAAATTAATCTGCCAGTTTCATAACTGAAAAATCATTTGGGTCAGTTTTTTCCAAGCAAACCACCAATTCTCCGGTTCCAGTTTTTCCTATGTAAACTGTGAACAAGTATATAAAGCAATAAAATGTCACAGTTTCTGACATTTTATAGATAATCAGTTAATTTTAAAAACAATCCAGATTAATCTATAATGAATATAATTAGCTGGTTGCAGAGCTAATTGAATAATTGTAAATGAGTTACCTGAAAATATGTAATAATACCAGGGAATTTAATAATTTACTGTTCATTTGTATGTATCATTAATGTTAATAAAATCATTCATTAAATTATTAAATTCTGCCTTGATTAAGTAAAACAATATAAGAGTCTTTATAAATATAATTTATAATATTGTATGATTAAAATATATAATATTTGTAAATTTTATTAAAGAGGAAAATGACCTGCAGTGACCCCGCTGCTAACCCCAGATACAAGGAACTGTAGAGTAAATAAGCTTTTTTATTGCACCTATTTGTAGTGGTTTGTTAACAAACAATTGTTTTTTACAGTTTTTTAATTTACAACTACCAGCAATGGTGGTGATTCGTAGACATCTCACCAATATACAGCAACATTAAAACATGTGCTAAGTTAGTATTTATTGCAGGAGTAGTGTGTTAGACTGTATTATACTGTCAGGTGTTTTTCTTATTTAGTCTTTGATCATGTATTACCTATGAGTGTTTGTTGTGTTACCTGCCACACACTCAGCTGGAGGGAGAGAGCGAGGTCTCCTGGAGTGAGAGGACAGCTCGCTGCAGGAAGGCTCTCTGCAGGACTCTGTTACATGTCATACAGTGAGTGTGTCAGCATGCTCATAGTCCTGAAGACTAACACACACCTGATGTGTTTGTGTGTGTATATAAAGAGTGTGTGCGTGGTCTCTTCCTGAGAGGCAGTATCTGGCAGTGCGTAGGACAGTGTTGCGGTTGTGTTGTTTTTTGTTTTTCAAAAAATCGTTTGATTTTCACTTAAAGAAGTACAAGAACATGCAACACAGTGCATCCACACCCACAGATAACCAGGAACCCTGTGATTAGTCTTTGTTTTCTTGTTTTAACTCAGAGGCTAACTGAGGTATGGTTCGTTAACGCCACATGGGTCTTGAATCTGACCTGGGTCTTGAGCCTTTCCTTCAAACTTTAACTAGAATACTAAACAACCTTTACAAAAAGCATTAACATGCGACCTGGGCTTTATCTGGGTAAAGCAGAAGTGTAAATGTGCCACTGAAGATGAACTATGGCTCTATCACCAAACCTCATCGGGAAGCGAATCACATTTGGCTAATGACACCATCCCTTTTCTGCAACCACATATTGGCTAAACAACCTGTACCAGCGTTTAAGAATGACTTCAGCTGAGTGCTCACCTACAGTATGATGATGTCCTGTAAAAACATTTCTCCGACTTAGAGTTGCCAGTCACAGGCCTCTTTGTGCACTTTGTGAAGAGTAAGTTCTGTGGGCCTATACCCCAATCAACGGGAGTATTAATGTGTGGAAACTGTTCTTAATTTCAAGTTCACCAAATACGCTACTGTTTCTCCATTGTTTTTCCTATTTGTTTTTTCCTATTGTCCTAATCCAACTATCCATGTTATTATTTGTGTTCATCCACATGTCAAAAAGCTATCTCGATTAATTATTTTCATTAGCTGAAATATAACAATGTCCTAGAAAGTCAACAAATAATCTGAAAAACTCTCAGTAATTAGTGATGTTTAGTTTGGGTCTTTTTTTAACTTTAAGGTTCTTGTGCAACTTTCTCACTCAAATTCTGCCTGAAAGGAAGCGTTTCCCCAGGCTCAGTGACACTTTACAGCTAAATCAAGCTTAAATTGAATAAATCAACTAATTCCTAACCTGAGTCCGTCTTCTGTGTCTCCCTGCAGAGAAAACCCAGAAGGGAGAAAAGAGGAAGCAGAATGGAGTGAAGGAGAAAGGGAAGGAGAGGAGGAAGAGTAGTCCTGAGAAGAAAAAGGAGAGATTAAAGTCAGAGAACGGCTCCCTGCTAAAAGAGCTAGGTACATTGTTTGTGTGTGTGTGATTGTTTGTGTGTGCGTGGGTGGGTGGGTGGGTGTACGCCCTTCAGTGTTTGCAAACGGATCAAATGCACCTCATTGGCTGAACATATGCCACATATGTGTGTTCCCATATTATGGAAGATCCTGCTGACAAAAGCTTGTAGCATATTCGTGGACTTGATGCATCAATAATTTCTTTGACGCAGAGTTTTCTTATACAATCTCTTCATAAGGGTGTAATGCAATAACAAAACAACCAAGACATTATGAAAGTTGGAAATCTCAGGATATTATTGTTTCATTTTGACCTGATAAAAGGAAACTTTGTCTTAAATAAATTATTGATGCATCACAAGTGCATTAGAGTGCAAACTCTAACAAAACAACTGTTTTATCCTGCTGAGGTCAGCACCCTTTCCATGCTGGTGTGTTACTTTTTCTTTTTTTTTTACAGCCATTATGTCTCAGTCATCAGTGTTGTCATGCATTTTCTGTGTGTTAGATCAAGTGTCGGGTGCGACCGTAAAATCTTTAATAGGAGCTGACTGCAGTTCAGCCCAGCAGGTCTGATCGGATCCATCAATCTGTTGGCAGTGTAACATCACTCACAGAGACCGAGAGGCAAGCACAACAACGGTGAGGGAGAGCGAGATTCAGCAAGACTTTGTGTCATGTAAATCATGCAGACCTCCCCTCAGCCTTTTTTTTCGCCTGTAGAACTGTGGAACTGTAGACCATTCCCCTAAGAGGTACAGCACGCATTACAGTCATACTGGGCAGTGTGGGAACTGATCTTTAGTCCTCTGGCTGAGAGTCAAGCTAACCTCTAAACCAGTGATTCTAACCTTTGTGTAGACTGTGGCAGGGAAGTGTCTTTCCTGAATATTAATGTTGATTATTATTTTATTGATATTTAGATTATATATGCATTCTTTATGTATTGGGTCTATGCCTATTACCTTTATTATTATTATTTATTTATTGTTATGTGTTATATCATTGAAAAATGACATTGAATGCCAAAGAACAGATTTGATTTAACTAGATTAAATTCTATTGATGAGTGTTAAAAAAGCGGTTAGACATTTGACCAACTTTTATTATGTGTCATCACTGATCACAAACAGCAGCCAATCAGAAATGCCATACAAGAAGCATTCCTTGTTCCAACAGAAAACAAGATTAGCCTACCAAGGAAAAAGTGTGAGGCTACTTGGAAAAAGTAGAAAGATTTATCTTAACTTTCGAAGGAAATAAGCTTTACTTCTTTGAAAGCTACTGTGAGCCCTGCGCTTGTTCAGTCTCTGCTATGGATATTACTTTATTCTTACTACTTTTATTCTTACTACTTCATTATTTAATATATGTTCCTTCACTGCGGGTAGCACAGAAGTTAGTTTCAGCCGTAGTGCACCTGAGGCCATAAAGTCCAAGCGATTGTGGTAGCTACTTGGATTGGAGGACCTGGCAAAATCCCTGCTCAACGAGATATGTTGTTGGAAAAGCAAGAAGAGCCTCGTCTTCTCCCAGAGAACCGGGTTAGGCTGGGCATATTTGACCCATGCGCTGCTCCAACTGGAGGTGCAGAAAGTAGCCTGGGCCACGTCATCGCACTGGATGTCTAATGAACTAATAGTTGTATTACTAATTAGTCTACTAATAAATATTTCTTTACATTCATAATGCATATATAGGCCTATATTTTCAAGTTAATGCAACCTACCTTTTGACATAGAAAAGGTCAGAAGTAATTTGATGGCGTTTGGCTTATATTGTTTTGTGCTATTCCAGTCACATTAAACCTGGTCCCATGTTTTGAGATTTCATATTTCCTTTTATTCATAGAATTATTAAAGATGATTATTGAACTTCAGACCTAAGAGAGAGCATCCATTTTTTTCTGATTGACACAGTAAACTCGATGTTGTTGGAATTGTCCCGTTCACATGAAGGCAGCATGGGGATTAGCTACAGAACAGAGACAGAGACACTGAAATAAAGAGTGACTGCTATGGAAATGATACACCATCTCTTATAGTCACATTGCTGTAAATGCAGACCACATTCTTTTGCAAGTTTAAACTTGTATCGTGGTGAATCATGGGTGTAAACAAACAAACTCCCCCCAGAAAACACTTTAACACTTCCCTAACCAATCAATAGAGACCATCGTATCTGCCTGAATAGGGTTATTTTAAGTCGACATTGTTGCGTAGCCATGCCAACATACTGGTTTTTACAGGGTTTTAAGAGTGGAGCGAAGTAAAAGTAAACTACTTACTCCTAATTTTTCTAGAACAGCCTCAATAGCACTGTCTATCTTGTTTATAGCGGTATCTCTTACACCCCCTTGGTTTCAGTGCAAAGCTTGACGACGCTTAACAACAGCTTCACAACGCCATTATTCCCACTGCAGCGCTCATTGGATCAATGCTTTTTAACAGAGAAACCGCTGTTTCACGTTGTGATGCCGGAGAGAATCATTCAGCTCGGTGGAGTGGGTGGATTGAAAGGCCCAGGCAAGCATTATTTCCCAAGGTTTTGTCAAACCAAAAATGGCACATGGATGAGCAATTGAATAAATGATCAGCAAATTACCAATCAATTTATTGTTTTAAAGGTATTTATCCAGTAAAAAGTGACACTTGCCCAATATGAAGAGTGCAGGGTTTTTTCTGTTTTATTTAAATGTAAACTGAATCCCTTTGGGGATTTTAAAGATGTCATGTTGGTGGCATTGGTGGCATTGTATAGACTTAATAATTATTTGACTGAAAAAGTAATAGAACGATCTAAAATGAAAATAATAATATGGTTTTGAAAGTGTTTCAACAATAAGGTTCATGGGTACTGAGTGCTTTAGTGTTTCTGTTGCTGGTGGAGATGGTTGAGAGCGAAGACAATATGAAGCAGGTTAAAAAAAAAAAAAAGGCTGAGTTATCTTCTCATTTTCAGTAACACATATCTTGCAAAGCCGTTTCTACTGGAACACTTCTGCTCACCCTGACTCTTGTTCTCTATCACAGTGAGTGAAAGACAGGCGGACCCAACAAGACATTCACTGATATCACAAAGTGAATGAAAGAATGTAACAGTTACAATGGGGAATATAAAAGCACGATACTGCCTGATCAAAACGTCCCTCTAGCAGTGGTGCTATTGGTTAGTGAAATTTGGGATGGTGGTTGGAGTGGTTAGAGTTGATGGTTAGAGTTTGACCCATATACCAAACTTTTAAATGGGTAAAAGAAGTGAAATTTGGGAGTAAGATTTAGAAAATGTAGGCGTAGAAATTATGGTAAAACTGAAAAGAGAGAGAGAGAAGCTCTGTCAGCATTAATCCTTGTCATTAATGAGCGAGTAGTGAGAGGCCTGTCACTGCCAATCTTCATCATTATTGAGATGAGGATAGACGCTAATGGTTGTCTGCCCTGTTAGATGGTGATCCATTCCCTACTACCCATCATTACAGCTACATATGATGCTCAGAAGACGGATATGAAATGGAAATTGAGCATTGAGCAGATTATGTGTATGTAGATATTTGTTCATACCAGTGACAATTTACAGGCATTTAGCTGACACTCGTATCCACAGCGACTGAACGAGGAGGGAAAGGCTCAGTTTCTCGCTCGAGGACACAAGATAGACTGTTGATGGACACACACTGGCGGCTCTGGTGATTGAATCTGTAGCTTTTAAGTTGTCACCCCGAGGGAAGCCACCTGTCTGACTACAGGGGTGCAAATTAATATTTAAATGCACAGGCATTCTCATAGAAGTTGAAAAGACGCTCTACTGTGAGAGAGGTTTATTTTTTATATATATATTTTTTCCCACTGAGCAGAAGTGACATGTCTATGAGTAACAATTTTTTGTGCCTGAGAGCTGAAAGTTTCTCAGGAAGTAATCCAGGTTCATGTTAGCGAGGGTAGCAATGTGTTGACTGATGTGTTAAATCATGGGTGCAGATAGCAAAGCCCCTCTATTAAGAAACATGGGAGTTTCAGTTTTTAAATTGAATGTCTACCCTTCTGTTCATGTCCATCTGTTTCATTGAGGTAGATAGGCCTGTTTTGAAAGGGTGCACCCTCAGATGTGACAGCAGCAGCCGTAAAGTCATATTTCCTGACATTGTGAAAACATCCTGAGTTTATTTATTCACGTGCAGCTATGTCATTGGACAGTAGAGCTGTGAGAGTTTGATGAGAGCCGGTGCTATCGGCTTTGGCAGAACCAGGATCAAACACAGTGTTTCCTCTCTATCAGGTTATAGTTTTTGTGAATTGTGTGCTTCAGTGGGGTTTTCTCCTGTAAAATAGCATCTGAAAAGTATCTTTGTTGGGACAATAATTGACATTTGATGAAACACCTACTTAGCATTTATAAGCAGCAATTTAAAACATTTAATAAATTCTTAACAGTTTGTAACAATAATATAGTTGTACGCAGTTCTAAGGAAATTTTTAAATGTTAATTAATATACCGTGTTTGTCAACAATTATAGCTTACACAAATTACAACTGAAAAATATATGTATACACACACACTGGGTTGTGTTTATACATAGGAGTTATTGTTGTTGATAAATGTATTAAATGCTTACAACCACATTATAGCATGTTATAAACCTTTAGTTTAAGAGGAAGTTTTACGATAAAAAAACTATCAAGATAATTTAAGTTATTGTGTAAGACAATGAATAATTAACATGCAAATAATAAAGGGTAAGAAGCACACTATACTGTATGTTTATGTGGGCAAATTAAATGGAAAACAAAGTACTCCATATTTTCAGGCTTACTCTAAAAACAAGCTCCTCTGCTGTGAATAGCGTCCATATGTGGGGCATCAAGTGGGTGGATTTGTGGTCTTGCATAATGCTTGTTTATATGTAACTAGATCTAATAAGTTATGAATATCCCTGCAATGACATTCTCTACAAAGCTGTGGGCTGCACAGACAATTACTGTTCATGATTAATATCTGAGAATATCTAA